CATTTACTAACGAAAAATCAGTTACCAAGTCGTCTATGACGGTGAACTTTCCTCTTCAGGTGGTACTTCCGCCGCTGCTCCTGTTGTTGCCGGTATCCTCGGTCTTCTTAACGACGCACGATTTAAAGCAGGAAAACCAGCTTTAGGATTTGTTAATCCGCTCCTTTACCTTCTCGGCACAGGAGCTCTTAATGATATCACCGGAGGAGCTAGTGTAGGATGTAATGGTGTCAATGGACAGACTGGCAAGCCAGTACCTGGAGGAGCAGTTATTCCATATGCAAGTTGGAATGCGACAAAAGGATGGGATCCAGTTACCGGATTGGGAACACCAAATTTTGAGAAATTGAAGAAACTCGTTTTGAGTTATTAAACTCGCTCCCGAGATGCTGGATCAGTGGATGATGAATTGAAGAGCTAGAGATGAAAAGGTTCAAAAAGGTTATGGAGGGATTTGTACATAAATTACGTAGAAACGAATAATTGCAATAGTAAAGTAAATTGATAATTCTCAAAATCATGATCGCTTTCTATTGCATTGCATTGCATTGCATTTCATTTCAACGCATAGTTTTTTTTTCGTGACCAGACACCCAATGTACGAGTATATGTGATTGTACATACATATACACAAGGCATAGATAGGTATTGTAACTTGTAATTAGATAGATAGCATCGTATAAAGCTAACCGGACCAAACCAGACCAAACCGGACCGCACCGAACTAGGTGGGGTAAAGATACCCCCCTCTCACCCTGGGGTTTTCTTGAAAGGATTGGATTCTCGAGTTGTGATACTTTATCTCATTAGTCTAGGCGAGGCGAGAGACGAGCTTGTGAATGGATGAGAGGGGGAGAGGGGGAGAGGGGGAGTGGTGAGTGAGTGGGGAGATGAGAGGATGAGAGGATGAGTGGGGGAGGTGAGAGGATGAGTGGATGAGTGGGTAGGTGAGTGGGGAGATGAGTTACCCCGCATTAAGATTAATTAATTATTGATAGGTATTTAGGTAGGTAGCTGGAGGGTTTGGTGTTGTTATTGTTATCTGATGGGATGGGATGGAATGGGATGGGATGGGATGGGATAAGGGTGGGATTTTTTATCTAGATATCTAGTTTCTATAACCTACGGATAATTTGGAAATATTAGGTATACGAATTTATTAGGTATAATTATTAGGTAGGTAATTGTCAATATATCTAATTCTCTGGATAGTTGATATATGCGTTTGGATTTTGATGGATGATTTTTTGGGGGGCGGGATTTGCTGAGATATATGGTTTTATAAGGGGGTGGGATGAGATGAGATGAGATGAGAGAAATTGATGGATGGATGTGTGGATGTGTGGATGTGTGGGTATTATATATAGGTATGTGGTACACCATTGTTGCATAGATACGTAGGTAGATAACCTTAGATAACATTATCAGACGCTTATGAATAATATGCGTATGGATATTATGTAGGTACCTAGGTATGCAGGACTATCTATTCCATTCGAACCTTTTCCGATTATTCCATTTCATTCCGAATACTCCAATCCAGCTAGACTCGTGTAATAAAATAAATGGGATCGATTCGCCACGCAAAATGGATCTGAACGGAAGAGGAAGCTCAATGGATTATACTGCGAGACTGTGTTTCTTACGAGTACATTATATCTTATATCTAACAGCTTACATCATGATATCATATCATGAGATGAGATGAGTAATATCACCCCGGAGGAAATTTTATATACAGCTACCTAGCTGTAGTCGTAGACTCGCAGACAGCTAACCTAGCTGATAACTTGTCGCCATATCTACGAGTAATCGGGATAATTGATTTAGAGTCGAGGAACTTCGGGAACCCTGGGGTTTTGCAGCTAGCTATGTAGCTATTGGTGAGCATGATAAGGAAGGTAGAAACGATAAATTTATCAGGGTTGACAATCTGAACTGTGAGATTTGGAGCTCGGGGATTGTGAATCGATTTGGAAGTTTGGATTTGCGGACTTAGTATGTTGTGAGAATAGGGAGAAGGAGGGTTTCTACTGGAGCTGAGCTGAGAGGAAGGGGAGTGCTGATGACGATGACGATAGTTGCATATTCGATATGTACGTACTGGGGTTATATGCAATGCAATGCATGAACTACTAGGTAGTATCTACCTACACAGGTATCCAGATAGATTCGGAGTCGGGGTTTGCTGTTGGACAAATCGTCCTTGTTATGTCATGTTGAGGAAAGAACTGTGTTACTTATTCTTTCCTTTCTCTTTCTTTCTTTCTTTCTATCTTTCTTTCTATCTTTCTTCATTGTTTTTACTTGATTCTATCACGATTGCACTTGTTTAGCAATCTCAATTGCAATTGAGTGATTCTCTTCTATCCTAGAGTCTCAAACTCTAATTACCTAGGTAGTAATTAAGTAGAGAAATCGATCTCCCAAAGTGCAACTCTCAAACCATTCCCGGAATCGATAGAGTAACACCGCAAAAGATTTCTGTCTGGGAAACAAGCAAGATGTCGTTGAATATGAGACAAACAGTGGTTCTCCTTTTGTTCTTCGCATCGACAATTCTGGCAGGTCGCTTTTCGGATTTCTCCCATGCGAAGGGGTTTCATCCGGATTTGAAAGATAGGGTGGAGAGGAATAGGAAGAGAAATTATCCCGGGTATGGGCATGGGCATGGGAATGGGACGGAGGGGTTTCGGTTTCTGAATAAACATACGGAGGGTGAGTTTAAGTTGGGGTTTTGAGGGATTGGGAGAGGAATGGAGGAATTGAGAGAAAGGGGATGTTGCATCGTGCTGTGTTGTGGGATTCAGAGCTGACGAATGATCTTGCGTAGAATACAGAGTTAAATCTCTCCCCGATATCCCCTTTGATATCGGAGAAATGTATGCGGGATTAATGCCAATTGATATGAAAAATAAATCAAGAGGGCTTTATTTTGTCTTTGAACCCACGGTTGGAGAACCGGTTGACGAGATTACTATTTGGTTAAATGGAGGGCCTGGTGAGTTATACTTGTAATTTACTTTGGCATCTGGGATGGAAAACTGCAAGGAAGAAGCTAATGATCAAACTAGGCTGCAGTTCTTTAGAAGCCTTCTTTCAAGAAAATGGACGGTTTATTTGGAGTTGGGGAATGTATACTCCGCAGATTAATCCATATTCTTGGGTTAATCTTACGAATGTTCTTTGGTGAGTAGAACTACTGCTCTTACTGTATCCATCTGAGAGAAAACCATGACTGATAGTGAAAAGGGTCGAACAACCAGTTGGAACGGGATTCTCGATTGGTGAAGTAACTGCTACAAGTGAAGAAGACATCGCAGAGGATTTTGTCAACTTTTTCTTGAATTTTCAAAAGACGTTTGGGATTAAGAATTTCAAGATTTATGTTACAGGAGAAAGTTATGCAGGAAGATATGTCCCGTATATATCTTTGGCTATGTTGGAGAGAAATGATGCGGAGTATTTTGATGTTTCTGGTAAGGATTTTCTAGTCATCGAATCTCAAGTAATCCTATCACTAACATCAAATAGGAGCTTTAGCTTATGATCCCGTCATTGGCTCCTATGTATATGCCCAACAAGAAGCACCAGCCGTTCCATTCCTTCTCCAGAACAATAATATATTCGGCCTAAACGCAAGTTTTGTAGCTCATTTAGAAACACTTCATGAATCATGCGGCTATTCGGATTTCATATCACAATATTTAACCTTTCCACCATCTGGTGTTCAACCCCCTAAATACTTCGACTATAACAATGAAACTGATCTAGCGTGTGATCTTTGGGGTTCGATCTACTCTGCAGCATACGGACCAAACCCCTGTTTCAATGTTTACGAAATCGTTACTCAGTGTCCTCTTCCATCCGATCCACTAGGTTATCCAACGGACTTACAGTATCTATATCCAGGATTCGATCAAATCTATTTCAACCGCACAGATGTGAAAAAAGCCATGCATGCACCCATGGAAATCGACTGGAACGAATGTTCCGGCCCCGTATTCATCGGAGGAGACGACGGCAAAGGAGGACCCGAACAAGAAGGTGATCTCAGTGCAGATCCCATTCAATCCGTTCTCCCCCGCGTCATCGAAGCTACCAATCGTGTCCTCATCGCCAATGGAAATCTCGATTACGAAATCCTCACCAATGGCACACTTCTCGCGATTCAAAATATGACGTGGGGAGGAAAAATGGGGTTTCAAGAGAAACCGGCGAAACCGATTGTGATTACGTTGCCGGATTTGCAGTATGGGAATTTGTTTATTGACGAGGGATTTGGACCGGTAGATGAACCGCAGGGAACGATGGGAGTGCAGCATTTTGAACGCGGGTTGATGTGGGCGGAGACATTTCTGAGTGGACATATGCAGCCCCAATTTCAGCCGAGAAGTAGTTATAGACATTTGCAGTGGGTTTTGGGGAGGATTGATGAATTGTAAATAGATATGTTTAATGAATAGGTGTGTGAGAAGTTGAGATTGGTAGGTGTGAAGACTTGGGAATTGATGGGTTTATATTATATTGATGAGGAATGAGTGGTGAATGTGGAATCTTTTGATAGTGGTTTATTTATTTGTTAAAGGATGAGATACTAGTAGTTAGATTCTATATAATAAAAGCTGATGGTGAATATATAAATATATATATTTGTATTGGAGAGTAACCGAAGTGCTCACTTGACCCTGCTAATCACAGTAATTCAAACTCCAAACTTCAAAAGCTGACTGGATAATCGATGATGATGATGATAAATAAGTTTTTCCTTCTTCTAATAATTAACTTAAGTCTTACATATATTGTTTTATTAAGAGTAAAGATTTAATATTTCAATCAGTTTTGGTTGTTTCGATTATAGAGATATGTAGATGAATTAATGAATGAATAATGAATAAAAGGAGACGAAGGAGAGAAATAATAGATCTAATAGATCTGATAATAAATAGGTATTAATATCCCTTATGCGATGTCTGTACTCTCTCATCTTATATATTCTCCTAGTTATTATTCTTGCTGCTAGCTTGCTTCCTATCTTCCCATCTTCCTCTTCCTCTTCCTCTTCCTCTTCCTCTTCCTCTTCCTCTTCCTCTTCTCTTCCTCTTCCTCTTCCTCTTCCTTCCTCTTCCTCTTCCTCTTCCTCTTCCTCTTCCTCTTCCTCTTCCTCTTCCTCTTCCTCTTTCCTCTTCCTCTTCCTCTTCCTCTTCCTCTTCCTCTTCCTCTTCCTCTTCCTCTTCCTCTTCCTCTTCCTCTTCCTCTTCCTCTTCCTCTTCCTCTTCCTCTTCCTCTTCCTCTTCCTCTTCCTCTTCCTCTTCCTCTTCCTCTTCCTCTTCCTCCTGCGTACATTCCATTCTCCATCCTCTCCGCTCCGCAATCCCCGCATCCGCACTATAGAGCGAAATTCGAAACAATTTCATCCAGCTCGATCGCATCGCAGCGCTCACAAACTAATTCTCCCACTTTATAGTGCGTACGTATATTCCATGTTATCCATCGTTCAGCTCACAGAAGAGAGATAGAGATAGAGATACAGATACAGATACCAGTCTATTTCCTGCTACAAGTAATGAACAACCCCCCTTTCCTAAACCCGTCTCCTAGAAATTGCCAAATCTCGCAATGCAAAAGCAAACGCTGCTGCGCAACGAACCTTATTTGAAATCAGCATAGCTATTAACACGCCTCCAGACTTGAGTGGCTCTCGCATACAATGATGATCGTAGGACTACTCACGAGCTGGAAAGATCACTCACTGTCAAACTTGCAGTCCTTGACTTCAACTACTAATGATCAATGTATTCAGATTCCGTCTCTTGTACTTGAGCTCTACGGAATGTATCGAGTCGAAACCAAGATGTGCTTGTAAGACTACATGCATATTTGAGATATGGGGAAAAAAGAAGACCGCTGCTGCAGTATTAATTTCGATATATAGAGATCCGAGATATTTTATAAGTTAGTTGGACACGTACTCTGAAATGTACCCTACATGATGTATATTAAATTTAAAGAAACATCGCCGGTTCAAATTCAATAACTGCTGAATACGTGTCAGAGTCTTGCATTGCGTGATTTCGAAGTCTAGGGACTGAACATGCCCCGATAATTCTAGAAATAGATATCTTATATAACTTGTGTTGTATACTCATACTCTAATGTAATGAAGAATATTTACATACCTACTTGTACCAAACATATTGTAACAGAATCAAAAGCAAATTTACATCCGTACTCCCATTTAACCGATTCATCTCCCATGTAATTCGTACAAACAATACAATCATTGATTCTTATCAAACCCTGCACCCCCAGCAGTAGTAAACTCCAATTCCTCTGTCAAATTCCCATACTGCGCAACCCAATAATCAACAAGATAATTCTGTCTTGCTTTCCACGGACCCCTGTCACCCGCCAAGGGCATATATCCCTTTGCCTTTTCCATATACGTACTACTCAAATTCAACATGGGTTGAGAGTTCATTTTATTGCCATGAACTTTCGGTACAGCTGATACTATATTATTCTCTCGCATGTGTTTAAGCAATCGAACTAATACTCCCGCAGTGGTATCGGCTCCCAATGTCCATGGGGCGTTTGTATACCCAATCACTGTTACTGCGTTAGGCATGTCTTGAAGCATCATGCCTTTCCACATATGTTTGGTAGAATATTCGTAGGGGACGCCGTCGATACTCACTTTGGCGCCACCGGCAAGTTGCATTTTAAGTCCAGTGGCTGTGATGATTATATCTGCATCGAGGCTTTTCCCTGATCCGAGATCAATACCAGATGATGTTACGGTTTTGATGGTATCAGTTACGACATCAGCTTTTCCCGAGTGAAGACATTTGAAGAAATCGCTGTCTGGGCAGAAGCATGGACGTTGTTCCCAAGGATTGTATTTGGGGCTGAAATTAGGATCGATGGGCATGGTTGATGGAATTTCCTTCATGGTTTTTGCTCGAAGGATTTTGCGAGCGGTGCTGGGGAACTGGCGACAGAAGTGGAAGAATAGTAATGGGAGTACGAGGAATCTCCAACGGATCAATTGGCTAGCCATCCAACTTGGAAGATATTTGCGCATGGAACTTCCAGTGGTGTCATTTGCGGGAACTCCTAGTATCCACGAGGGACTTCGTTGTAACATTGTTATTTTGGCTGCCTTGTCTGCCAGATTTGGTATCAGTGTAATTGCCGTAGCACCACTTCCAATAACGACTATTTTCTTGTCGGTGTAATCGAGATCTTGGGGCCAGAATTGAGGATGTATCCTCTTGCCCTTGAAGTTGTCTAGTCCAGGTATTTCGACTTTCAATGGCTCGCTGTAGTCATAATAACCTGTACTCCAAACGATCCATCGTCCTTTTATAGTGCTCTTTCTTCCACCAGCATCAACTGCCAATGACCATTGTTGTTGTTCCGTTGACCAGTCTGCCGACGTAACATTATGGTGAAATTGTATCTTCTTATCAATACCATATTCCTCAGCAGATTCTCGAAAATATTTGCAGATTGATTCACCGTCAGCGATTGTCTGGGAGCTCATCCATGGTCGCCATGGGAATCCAAATGTATATAAATCTGAATCGGATCTGATACCAGGATATCGAAATAGATCCCACGTTCCGCCGATTGCTCCGCGATTCTCGAGTATAGTGTAGGTCAAGCCCGGAAGTTCTGATTGGATACGACTGCAGAATGTTAGCTATCTAATTTGAGAATCTGGTACCCAAGCACTTGGATCGCTAAATAGAGTAATATGGATAAGAATTTAATGTCCAAGAATTAGGTCTTACTATGCAGCATTAATTCCCGATAAACCAGCACCAACGATAACAATGTCGTAATCGCAATTCCCAGATCTTTGGACAGAACCCATTATGCTTATTTTTGTTATTGTAAGTATCTACAGTAGGGAGGTATACACAGTAGATGTTGATGCTATCAAAAGTAAAGCTCGGTAAGAGATATAGTGGCGGGGTCAGAAAAAATAAGAAATCCAGACGGAGGAATTGGAGAATATAAAAAGCGACAGAGGAGAGGATATTCGAAGTGAATGTAGGAAATAGATCAAATATATACACCGAGGCTCACTATCTTAGATACATGAAACATTTGAAAGGAAAGCGGAATAGGTAATGTGATATTTGCATTTGCCGTTGAAACATGCTCTCAATCCCAACAAATGATACCGAGGCCCATCCATTAGAGCATATGTCTCTCGCAAAACTAAACAGAAACAAGCTTAGTTGGCGCTATTGGTGTCGGTGAGTATGGTGATGTGATCGGCATACGGACGGCTCTCAGATTCCTATAGTCCGTGGGTAGTTATTATTGGCCTTCATGTTTGATCAAAGAGAGGTTTGAATGATGATACATCGCGATTTAAGTCGGTTAACCTACTTTCGGGCCACCCCTGTTTTGGGTCACCCTTTCACACCAAAAATCACTTTTTTGGCTTATTGATATCTTCATCAATATGTAATATAATTTATTGAAAATATATATATATATAATTCAGATCGATTTAAGCTTATTCTAAAAAATTTAGAATTTTAGAATTCTTCTGGATTGAGATCCAGAGCTTTAAAATATCGATTTTTTGATTTGTATGGGAATCACATACAAATTTAAAACTTTTATGAAATCTTAAATAACTTTTTAACAACAATTATTAAAAAAAAACTATATATCTTTTTGAAAGTTTTGAGCTTAAATTTATATAGAAATTCAAAAAAAAATTAAAAAAAAATTAATAGATATAGAGATATAATATATAATGAGTTTAGAGTAATATAAATAATCCCTGTCATTTTGAGAGTACCCCTTTAAATATTTATTTATAAAAAAATTTCAATTTTTTTTAAATCCTTCGAAATAAATATATTTAAAATTATAGTAAAATTTTATAATTTATTTTTAGCAATTTTTATTAAAAAGTTATTAAAGATTTTATAAAAATTCTAAATTTATATATAATTTTTATACAAATTAAAAATCAATATTTTAAAGCTCTAGATCTCAATACAGAAAAATCCTAAAAATATAAAAATTTCAGAATAAGCTTAAATCGATCTAAATTATATATATATAGATTTTCAATAAATTTTATTTATAAATAAGAAAGTTATAAATTTCATTTTTGATATGAAAAGTGATCGAAAAGTGGCCCAAAAGCGGGGTGGCCAGAAAGTGGGGTACCCCGACTTATGGGGAAGATGATGGTGAGGGGTAAACTTGGCATGAATGAAGGGGCAAAATGGTTCCGAACCGAGAAGTTTTCAACGAATAGAATCAAACAGAATGCAATGAATACCTCGTGGATGTTAAACGCGTGATCCAGGAACTCGGAAGTTATGAGGGTTCTTCCGCCGTGGGCAACGTCACCAGGAGTCAGTCCTTCTTATTAATGATTAAGATTTGAAGTGGACAACTCTTTTCGTCCCTCTCGCTATTTCCTCGAATGTTATACGAGTATACGAGTGGTGAATAACCACGGCAAGGCATTTCGGAGTTTTAGAATGTCCATGTTTACCACGTCGACCTACATATACGATATCCCGAGAACAGAAAAGGGTTAGGGAGAAGATGGATCGGTCAAAAGCTTGACTGGCCAACATAGTATTTCTTAAATAGGGTTGGAATGGGGAAGGAATGCGGAAGGAATGCGGAGGGAATGCGGAGGGAATGCGGAAGGAATGCGGAGGGAATGGATGAAGAAAGATAGAAGGGCTCGGAGTTTCTCATCGTCAAAAGTTTGACCAACTTGCTGTCCAAGGATAGAGAAATTCAGAGCGATAGGGGAGTCCAAGGCAACTTCGTTAGGTCATCTTTTCTTCGAACAGGTTCCCTACTCGCAAACAGAGAAGGAACCACCCACTGCATTAGGATAAAATTACTTGGTGAACCTCATCTTGACACCTCAAACACTCCGTCAACTCAGATAAATCACCCTTGTTTTATTTTGGCAATATCTTTTACTAGCACACACACCCAACGAAAGACCTTTCATTCTGTATCATGGCATCAATGACAATCAATCATGATGTCAACTGCACCCCTCTTACCTCCTTTGACAGAATGTTTTCTCTTCTATACCCCGAACTCCGCCAGTATATCTTCGACTTGACCCGTTTCCACTACCCGCCTCGAATGGTTCACTATGATGCTCGTAAGATATGGGGATCTTCACTTCCAGTCACACTTCTTGCCCTTTGAAAGCAGAGGGCGTTTTCCTTGTCAGAATGAGGATACAATAGATCAACATAAATACACTATGATCCCTCGGGATCCCGATATTAGACGTCATCCCCCTTGTTTTCACGTCTGCCGCGCAGCTCGACAGCAATGTTACAGAACTTTTACTTGGTTAAGAAATGGTGTTTGGTTCGACTGTGATCGGGAAACTCTTTTTATATATGATGCTTCACAT